GGCGGAGCTTAAGTGTGCACACGTAGGTATACGTATATTATACGCATTATAATATTCGTAAACGCGCCCGAACGCGGTCGATAATACTCGCGTTTACATATTATATTGTTGTGCGCTTTGTGGAGGCGAACGAGCGAGCGGCTCTCGTTACGGTCAATTTTCACCGTCGAATATCCCTCTCGCGGTGTTCGAAACTTTCTCTCGGCGGACCCTCCTCCCCGTTCGGCGGCGAACAGAAGAAATCGTATCATAACAAAATTGTATTATTATTCATCGAAGCGACAGCGCCGCGTCGAGACGGGCCGCCGGCTGCACCATACCTCCGTGCGGCAAAATTTTACAGCAGATAATTCGATATCGTACGCTGCAGCGTTCTCCGTAGATGCGACATAATATACGCGTATATTATAAGATAAACAGCGAAACCTCTGAATAGCGGACACTCTCGGTCGCCGAAATGTTGTCCGTTATTCAGAGGGGATGCGTTTTTGAAATTCATAAAACGTGAAATTCAATTAAACGATGCACGTACTATGTATGTATGTGTGTGTGTGTGTTGTATAATGTTATTTATTTATTGAAAATTACTACATTTTTACATTTTTGCAAATTATTAACACTAATTAGGTAATAGGTACATATTGTTTTGTCTGTTTATGATTACACCGTCTCTGTACAATCTCAACAGTAATATCATTATTCATTAGTCATTACTATGCATATACATATGTATGACTTGTACTCGGGTTAGAGTTAAAATGTGAGTATATGTGTTTTTAATTGTCAGCGATGTTATGATGTAATAACGTTATTTCAATAATTTATTAATCGAACTTTTTCCTTAAATTATTCAAAGAGAAACCCCCGTTTCAACGACTCGTGCATATACAGACTTGTAACTACGTGATACGTCCCGTATTGAAAACTGAAACGTTAAGGTTTCGTTTTTTTTTTTTTTAGATTATTACGTTTTGTCCGTTTGTGAACGTATCCTTTTAGAAGTTTCTGAAATAGCCAATGACTATTACAGACACAGCGTATTCGTTTGTCCAGTGATTACGATCGATATCCTTGCCGGTCGTACCTATACCTATGTCACATAATACACGACATTACGTGCAATAAATTATACATTGTCAGTTGACGTTTTCTCCGGTGACGCGCGTACGACCATTATATTATTATCACGGTAAAGTTCATCGCCTTTGAAAACAAATGAAAATAAACTGCTTTCGCAGTTAGATAAGGTTTTTAATATCGTTGGTTACGAGTTATTACTTTTTGTAATTTGTAATCCACTATTGAATTCGTCATTTGCTACTGACACGTTGAATAATAACAATATTAATAGGTGTATAGGTACTCGTGTATTTGTGTATAGGAGTAACGGCACTCGTCGTAGATTGGCTTTAATGAAAATTAAAACAAACACCAGGATGACAAATGAAATTGTTTTGTTAACTAAAATCGTATACAATGAAAATATTACAAAATATATTTTTTTCATAATAAAAATCCTGTCTTATTTTCTAAAAATATCGTTCTACTACGATAGCAATAAGTTAAATAATCAACAATTAAATTACTTTGTTTTTGAAAAATTATAAGCTCTGCTGTGTAATTATAGTAAGTTTAGTAAGTAATACAACAGTCTTCATACTTTGCTCTAATAGTTTTCCACTGAACATGTCTAATTAAATCTAAAACGTGACTTCTGTTACAATTCTTGTGAATAGTATCTTTGTGTGTACTACTGAAGGCTTTGCGATCACGGTGATGTTTGTAATATCTAAACTTCCAGAAATCAGTCTGTTACTATACAACAAGGTTTATTATGTTTCCAATCGTCTTAAGGTCTAATGTAATGCAAATGGTTCATTTATATTGCATCCACAATGTTTTGACTAATTAAAAATATTTGTACTTCCCTGATTGTTGAAAACTAATTTAAATATTATAAGATTTAGTTTTAAAATCGTTTATGCATTAATAAAACAATCAAAACTTTTAATTTTTATAAACTTATCATTTTCTTTTTCAGTTTTTTCGAAAAATTATTCAAATATATCATGAATTGTTTGTGTAGTATGATATTTTTGTAATATTAATTTTTCACATTATGAACTTAAATAACTAAGAATAACTAAACAAGCATGTCATGTACTGCAGCGTCTTTTTTTATAAATTATAATACTTAAGAAGTATAGTACTACGTTATATAAAAATAAAAACTCAGAAGTCTCTAACTCTGAATATTAGTGTTATAGAAATAGAATGTTTTTTTAGTTAAGAGAATTATATTTTGATAATTAACATAAAAGTTAAGAGTTAAGACCTCCCTTCAAATGCCCATTTATACCATTGATGTCACTTTTAGAATATCTTTAATCGTTAAATTCATTTATTTCAGAAATAGTAAACCCCAAGTGAAGGGTCATTTATGGTTTAAACAAATTAAAAATAGACTAAAATTAACCCAACCACAAGATAAACGTATTATTTTTTTGTAATTCAGGTTTAAGCTAATTCCTGGTTAAGTCCCTTTATTGTAGGAAAGTCTATTAAATGTTTGTTCATGTGTCTTCATAACTGTTTTATTCATATCTTAAACTTAAGTTATTTTATCGAATAGATTGCATAGACGATTTCGTTCTTTTTAAAACGAGAAAAAAATAATTTTACTGAAAATAATAGATTAGTAGAAAAGAAACATTTTAGTTTCAGATAGGTAGCTGATTCTATAACTTAAGTGTTGATAAAATACCAGTGTATTTACATGCTTTAATAGTTAGCTACATTGATACTTTATTTTTGATCAAAGTGATTAATAATCAATGCACTAAAATAAATAATACAACTAACATTAACCATAAATAACTATAGATAACCATTTATTATTATCTAAAATTATCTATGTATGTTTTAACTCTCAATTGTTAAATATATTGCAGTTATATATCGTATAAGAGTTAAATAAATATACTCATACATTAGTCATTTTTCTTTAGGATTTTTATGCATTCTTTATAACCGTCAAAATTAAAAATAAAAATGTTTAGCTCCTCTGAAATTATGTCTTTCGCCGTTTTACTTATTGTTATATACTACGTTTTCTATTAGTTCCCTGGCATTTTAAACGGCATACACTAAATACAAATCCAAAATACTACCAGTGAATGACCAATCAAAAAAAATATGTACAACAATCATAATTTAGAGCTCAAACTCAAACATTTATATTTTTGTTTAATTTATGTATTATAAATTCAAATGACACAAAATTTCACCAGTGGCTATTTTTCAATACACATATTTTAAAACGCAATTATTATCATGTTAAAAATCACACTAATAATGCACGCGAAACAATGTAACAATATTTTAAATGTCACATAATTGAATTTGGGGTTATAATTTAGTTTCATAAAACAATCCATTTAAAAATGACGTACAATAGTGAACGAATTCAATAGGTACATTGTTTTGTTTTCCATTCGATTAATATAAAACCGCTTTGGATGTAAAATATAATATGGTCATCGGGGTACTAAAAAAAACAATACATAATTTTTTTTAAATATAATGTGTTTTCAACACGTGAGTTTTTGGTAATAACTCGTATAATCACAAGGTACTCAAAAATGAAAATATTCAATAGGTGACTTTTTGTCATATCTTTTAATACCTAGCTAATTATTTTTCAGCTAAAATATTGCAAGTCTTAAAATCTTAAATAACCTTTTTATTCTTTAAGATAGCCAATTAAAAAATATTTTATATCTGTGTAAATTAAATACAATTGTGATTTACATTCAACTCACTCTATATATTTATATAATAGAAAATACTTCATACAATAACTTCATACTATTTATAACGAATTTAAAGATAAATAATTCTTCTATTTAGTTAAGTTATTACCATTGAAAAATGAAACAATTCTATACTTCAAATGATCTGAACGTTGATAAATTAAAATGTTATCATTAAAAATAATATTTTATGTAGTATGACATCTGATAAGAAATCTTTCGACCGTCATTTAACATCAGTAAAATATATTGTGTCAATCTTATAAACTTAATAATTTATAAGTATTTAAACACAGTTTCACTACAGTAGACTCTATTCTATTATCCTTTATTATTCAAAATTATTTTTGCCAAGTATGAAAAATATTAAACATAAAGAAAAGGTATAATGCCCAAGATAATATTAAGATATTTTTTTTAAATAAAAACTGAACTACTAAAATATTTATTTATTTATTTTTTACCTACTATTAATGTTAATCATATAGTTATTATAGTACAATAAATTTATTTTTTCTTCAAAGACATGTGTCAAAAAATTAACTATAAATAAGGTTTTTACATATACTAAGGTAACTTAGTATAAAATCTACCCAAAACCATACATTATAAAAAGTCCTATATCAATAATTATTCACTTAATGAAAAAGTGCTATCTACGAACATTTTTCAAAGTAAAAATAATCAATTTGTATTATTTTATTTTCATTTGACCGTAAATATAGGTTTAAAATAAAGCCTACGTTATTATGATAATATAACTTAATACACTATTGGATTACGTTTATCTTTATTAATTACTCAAACTGATTTTGTGATGAACCATGCTAATAGATGCAAGATAAATAATACTATACAATAATAAATAATTTTATATTTTTAAATTTTAACTACTTGCATGAATTTCTTATAAAAATACTTTTTAGAATATTTAGAAATGAGAATTCAATCACTTTTTAATTTTAATTTTACTAGTGATTTAATTAAAATAAACTTTCCATTAGCAACTAGGAACTATAAGTTTAATTGCATAATAATATATCATTATATTAAACTAAATCTGTATTGTGTATCCTAATTATTATTAGTAATAATAAATAATAAATTTTATCTGCCACTTGAAACTAATTTAATAATTAATCATTCAATTTAATGAAATGTATGATTATTAATTATTCATATTTACAGACATGACAACAGCTCAAATTGAAGCAGAGAATACACAAATGACTAACGACCTCTACCGATTGTTAAAGAAATACACTGGCCTAAGAAATCTTATAAGAGAACTGAAGGTATAAATATTATAATTTTATTACAGTACATTTTTTCGTATATATATATATATATATATATATATATATATGATTAACGAATATTTATTTATTTATTCTCCTAGTAGGTTTTTATGCATAACCTTTAGTAACGAGAAATTAGTTAATGGAATTAATCCACCGATTGAAGCTGTAGTGACTATAAATATTATTTACCAAAGCCATTTGTATAAACTATCAACTCTGAATTCACACATACGTACACCCTTTTCACTTGTCGCAGTTATAAAATTTTGTTGCTTGCCGTCTAACTTGATCGATTTATTTTGCTACAGGTAGAATATGTCAACTCAAAAGTGTACCCGATATTTCCACGTTACAATATACTGAAAGACTTAATAAAGGACATCATGCATCATCAGGAATACATGGAAGTCTGCCACGAAGTTGATGCTGTATAATGAGGGACAAAGAAGGACGACACGCACATTTTTTTTTTTATACGCACACATACCTATAAATTAAATATGAAAATGAACATATACACGGCATTTATTTAAATTTATGACCGATATACAAAATAAAATCGACGCGTTGTGTGCTAGCTTATTATATATTTTTGTGTGTAAATGTATGTGTATGAGTATAAGTGCGAGTGAATGTGTGTGTGTGCATATGTGTGAGTGTGTGTGTGGGTGTGAGTGTGCGTGTGTGTGTGCGTGTGTGCGTGTGCATGTGTTTTTTATCTGAATCGTGCCAAGCTACATTTTTCCTGCGTACTTTTCGTCATTTAAATAATGCGTTTCCAGAAAATTTGAAGATACCTATGGGTATCATCACACTTGCTTTTATCGCATTTACCGTTATCGACGGATGAAATTCGACGTCTCATTTTCGTTTTTTCTTTTTCTTTTCCCGAGGAGAAAACCTAATTTTATGACGTTTTTCAATATTTCCCTTTTTGTCTCTATTATGCTCCATTCAATTCGTCAACAGACATCCGAATAATATTGACATTTTTAATACTACTGTACAAGTCTATTTAAAATAATATACTTATAATGACGACTAATTATTTATACGCCATACAAAATATTTAATCATGTAATTATATTATATTTAAATTTAAATTTAAAATTGATAAGAATAATTGAATTTTTTGAAAAAAAAAAAAAAAAACTCAAGTTTGTTGTATACAATCGTATATACCGTGTAAACTTGACAGCGTTTCGTGGTGTAATCATAATACATAATATATTATAAGGATTTTTTTTTTTTTTTGGAAAACGAAAAAACGCTTAATCATAAATCATAATATTATAATATAATAATATATACCCACCTACTATTATAATACTATTGTGTGATCTTCCGTGCTCTATTGGGCATTTTGATTTTATACGCATAAATTATACTGTTATTGATAACGATTCAACGACAAGGAGACGTGAACTTACCAGCTTGTTGTTATTATTAGAGGCTTCCCCCCGTTCCTTGTAAATATTGTAAAAAAAAAAAATCACGTGCGCTTTTTCAATGCAAAACCCGTACGCCAATCGTGTGGTATGCATGTATTTGTTACGAATTTCTAGTTGAGTCTAATAGTGTTCAAGTTTAGTTAATAAAGCAATCAGATTAATGAGGGGGTGCTCGAAAGTCGCCGCACAATCTTATCGATAACAATGTTTCTTCCGGCGTACGCGTCGACGGTACGGTATTATTTAAATGAATCGTCGGGAGCGGCGTAGTAGGCCACTTAACTAGCACCAAAAATCGTTGCGATAGTGACCGCAATCGAAATGAATACGATTTGTTAAACATGCGTCCGATACACTGTACTTTTATGCTGTAGTGGTGAATTACTTTTTTTTGACATTATGCATGTGCCATTTAAACTATTATAAGTATCACTGAAACAAATTTTACTGGAATATTTAAAAAATAAAAGAACTATCAAACTTAAAAAACGCACAAGAGAAACTTCAAAAATTCAAACAAGAAAAACTACTTTAAAAAAATATAAGTATCCTCGTTTTGCAAATTTAATTTCTCTATGTTTGGTATTTTTCTATTACTTACTGCCTGTATCAAATAAAATTATATAACTAAATTGACATTTAAAAAAAAGCTCAATTTTGTTTGTTTTCCACTAAAAATGTCTTGTTTTGTGCAAATTTAACCAATAACCATGATCAAAAATCGAATAAATATTAAACACGTGTATACATAAGCCGTAGGCAATCTATCCTGCATTTTGGTGATTTCTGAAATAAATGAAAAAAGGATACTCGCCACGTATGGTTTACGTGAGAATGTTTAATATTATTTAATTATTTATCTATTTTTATTAATATTGGAAAAATTGCACACCAATGAATTTTCCATGTATCTAATAAAAGATTCAGAATTCCCACTCGTATGACATTAAGCAGCAGCTACATGAAACTTCCTCCGACTTATCAATAATAAATTTCATATTGTTTTATTACCATTATCAATGCCTGGTAATATTAAGGTTCATGGGCCATGTTTTTAAAACAATAATATCGAAGAAATATTGTTATCGACCTTAAAAAACATATCGTTTTTTTTCTTTTTAATGTTAACAAAAAAAAATTTCCAAACGTAATAAAACCCTACACATACCACCACGTTGTTCTATTCGGCGTAATTCCAAAAAAAAAAAATTAATAATAATAATAATAATAATACATAATAATTATAATTTGTTTAAAAATAATGAACTATTATGATATAATATAGTAAGTTTTTACACGAATTTTTTTTTTTTAATATTTATTATTTAATAACAATACTATTATATTATTTACTGAACAATTATTGTTATTGTTGATTAAATTAATAATATGAAATTATGCTTAACTACGGAAATATACTCGTATATCGTATTTGCCATTTGGTACGTAATATAATAACTAAACTTGTAGAAATATAATATATAAGTAAATAAATTGTAAACGTGGAGATATTTTTTTACGTTTAAGTAAGAAAATCCCACTTAGTTATTCCTTTGTTTTATTTCGGTTGTGCATATATAAAATATATATATTTAGTTTAGTATTAATCTAGTCAAAAAATCTTGTTTAACACGTAATTAGTTTTTTAGCATAACATTGTTATCTGCTCGAACTATTGATCATTGTTGTTTATATTGTTAAGTTTTCTTAATTTATATTACCATACGTTTAGTAATAATAATATTAATAATTTATAATACTATCACATATAAACATAATACTAATAAATGATAATACTTATTATAGTGATTCGATTAATCTGAAATATTATTATAGAATGAATATTCAATATAAGTACTTAATATGGAACTCTAGGAATAATAAGTGAAATTCGGTTACTTTTTCGGTTTTTTTAGGACCAAATTATTGTATAACTATAACCATCGTCTTTTTTATTTTAATCAAGACAATAACTTCGAACGACACAAGCCGAATACATCATACAATCAATTGACCTAGTCGTATACATGTTAAATTGACGTCACTTAAACAAAAAACTAAAAAAATAAAAAAAATACATAATTTAATAACAGAAGCTACTTTTACATAGATTATACATATTTCCGAGATTAAAATTACACGATTTTGTGGTTTCATACTTTTAAATGTTTATTTTAAACAGATTTTCACGTGTATTTTAATGACGTCATTTATTGATTATACATACCAATTTTACTTTTTTCAATAATGGTTGAACCATTTTTCTTTTAAAACAACATAACATTTAACAAATCTACTATTGAAATAAACATAATATCATATTATTTTACTATACTATAAAATAAAAATAATACATTTTTACAATTAGGTGCCTTTTTTAGTACGCTCGTTACACAATGTTTTTTCTATTTAAATAATGAGCTTAGTAACGTGTAAATAAGCTTTATAAGCTAATAAACTTTACAGGAACATTAATAAGTACTCATTTTTATTAAATAAAATATGCTATTAAAAATTTATAAAACTAAAAAAATTTTCGTCTTTATCGTGCGCTAATTGACTTTTATGTTCTAACATACCTAAACTTAATATAAAACACTTTCCAATGTATTTACAATTTAATATTTATATCTAAAATGAAAAGTATTGTAAGTTAGTAAAGAAAAAAAAGATTATTAATAAATAACCATGTTGGTCTACATGTTTAAATTAATAATGTAATATTTATCTGATAAAATATAAAATCAATGTTAATCAGTAATTTTAGTCTGTTTCTTTTATCCTTGTTCTTATTGTGATTTTTTGGCGATTTGCTAATATTATTATATTTTACGTTTAATATTATTATCATAATATATTATAAATTTATGTATACATATATAATTATATATTTATGTATATATAAATAATTATTAAATATATTTATACATATATATAAATAATGCATATTTTAAGATAATAAATAACATTTGAGTTTTATATATTTACCCGAAATAAATTAACGCTGTTGATATACCAAGTTGTTGATTTTATTCATTATTTTTAATTGTATGTATGATATTATACTTAAAGTATTGTCTTTTTCTCATACTTTAAACTAAGGTTAATATACAAGTAGTTTAAATAATATGTAGGTGCCCCATGCGATGCAATTTAAAATATTCTAAGAATACATAGTAAAATGTTTAATTAACAATCATTAATCATTAGCCTCTCTTGTACCGCAATTATTGAGAAATCTAAAGAACAAAGATAAATATTTAATATTTCAAATAATTGTTCTAATGTTTAAATTATTTATATGAACATATTTTGAATAATATTCAGCTATAGAGTTTCTCACAATGTGTCTTTGTCAATAACTTTTTTACAAATAAATATTTTGGAAATCCGGCTATAAAACATTTTTACTGCATAAGAGATTATTCAAGAGTCAATTATTTATTTATTAGAGTTTAAAGTAAAAAAATTGTTTTACATTTTTAAAAACCAAAAGTAAGTTAGAGAATTTTCGTAAACAATTGTAAAATTAAATTTCTGATTTCTTTTTAGTCATCTTATAAATTGGCAGTCAAGTAATATTATTAGTATAAACAAAAAGTGTTAAGAGTAAGCATATTTTAATATGTTTGGTAAATGAGCAGTATATATGATAAACACATTTAAATAAAAATAATATAAGTTTGACTTTGAACGTAGAATAAGTGTCGGTAATTGTTAATAATTTGTATTTGTATAATAAACACAATATCAAACTTTTTAATAAATAAATAGTTCTCTACCTTCATGCTATCATTCTTTCTTTAATGATAAAAATTTCCTTTTTAACAATACACTTAAATACATTATGTTACAGATAACGACGTCATCAACTATATCAGCCATACCTAACCTACGGCTTACAATTTTTTTTTGTGCCCCATAAAGAAATCATTGAATCTATGTAAATTTAAAACAAATATCTCAATAATAAAAATTACATTAATTTAAAATAAATATTTAATTGTTTTATAAAAATGTATTAATTTTTATAATATATATATATTATATAAACGTATTTTTTTCAAATCTCCCTTTTCCATTCATTTTAACTATTAGCCCGCTTAATATTTTAAAATATTTTTTGTGGCTTAAACAAAAATAAGGTTAAATATGGTTGATTTATACTCTATAAAACTCTATGGATAGTCATCCTTCATGTTTTATTATTTAAGTCATTATTTTCGTTAACATTAAGTACCTATCTTGAAACAATACATTACATATAAACATAATATTTAAAAAGTTCAATATTAATATTCAATATTATTGCGTATAATGTTATCGACTTTTTATGAAATATAATTTTTTAGAAAATGATAAATATTTGCTAGTATTCTTAATCACATAACAATATTTGATTTCTAAACAAAAATTTCTAAATAACAGCTGTATAATGTATGTGTGTACGTCTACGAAATCTATTTTTATAATTTATTTACATTTTTGTAACGACCATAGTTATAAAAACGTTCTATAATAAAAACATAATCCAACATAATTCAACCTAATTTACATTAGTTAATAATTTTTATTTACCACTATTTCATTTATTTTGTATA